ATGTGTTTGTGTGTATATTATCTGTGTGTGTTGTTTTATGATGTTTTTTTCTTTTTTTGAGACTAAGTTTCTCTTTGCAATGCACAGATACTATTCAATGAATAAATCCATAAAATGTTCCTTAAAAGGTGAGCTGGCAAGCAAGCCAATAAAAATAATGATCTTTAGCCTTACAGTCCAGTGTGAATGCCTTTTTTTAACTCAACACATTCCATGAAGTATCACATGTTTGGTTAGGTGAAGAGTCGGTAGTCTTTTGTGGTTGTTCACATGCGTTCGACCATATGAGCGTTCACACTACGAAAGTAATCAAAATGCATTTTGAACTTCCTCTAATGCTCAAAGTGGTGCTCAGAAAGTTTTGCAACGTGAAGTGGCACAAAGTGTTTTGTTTACACCTCTATTAAGGACCTTCGACTTATGATCCTAATAACAGGTATAAATGGGGCCATCAATTAGGACAAAAGTTCGGATATGTATTTCTAATGTTAGCACTAAAGTTTAGATTGAACCTATTTTCCTTATTGTGACATATAATCAAGTTAAACTGCTTTGCAAACAAGAACAAATGTAAGGCAGGACTTATTTTTGTCAATGCACTAATTGGTTTGCGGTTGGTTGGGTGTGATTAGGTGTGAGGTTGGTGGATCCCATCTAACTGACAGATTGATTCTGTTTTTGAAAATACATAATTTTGTGTTCACTGATAAGTCTGGCCATTTAGATTTTATTTGGATTATAGTCCACAGCCTTACCAGTGAAATTTAAGCACTAGGGCTGTCAAAAGTATTGACTTTAGTACCATTCGGTAATGAAATTAAAATAAAAGTCCATTTCCCGTTAACATTTGAACGATGTTGAGTGCGTTCTTAAACACAGCTTATTGGCCATTGTGTTCACATTCCCAACAGAAACTACTGTGATTGGCCGTGAAGGTCATCGATTGATCTCTGTCTATCAAGTGCAAACACAAAAACACTGGAGCATTTCAAAGCTTTGCAGATCAGCTGGTCTGTCTATAAGCTGACATACGAGCGATCTGCTGATGGAACAACTGATCTACATGGCTTTCAACTGCTCCTGTGCATCTGTGTTTGCATTTGGTGAACCAAGAGTGGTGAACTGATAGCACTTGAACACAATTGCCAATAGTGGTGTTTAAATAAGCACCCAAATGTTTGCCGGAAATGCATGTTTTTAAAACTTCAAAACCGATTGGTACTGTACTTGATACTTTTGACAATCTTACTAAGCACTACAGTTTATTGCTTGTATCTGTGGTTGTGCATTTGGTGATCATCGGTGAAGAGTGGTGAACAGATGACCTTCACGGCCAATCACAGTCATTTCTGTTGAGCATGTAAAGACAATGGCCAATCAGCTGTGTTTAATAACATGCTCAAATGTTACATTTTTAAAATTCCTGCACCAGTTGGTGCTGAACTTGATACTTTTGACTCCTCTACTAAGAACTGCAGTTTATTGCTTGTATCAGTGGTTGTGCATTTAGTGAACATCAGTAAAGAGCGCTAAACTGAAGACCTTCACAGCCGATTACAGTCATTTCTGTTGAGAGCGTGAACACAATGGCCTATCAATGGTGTTTATGTAAGTGGTCAAATGTTAGTTGGGAAATTATTGTTTTTAAAACTTCAGTACTGATTGGTATCATACTCGATACTTTTGACAACCCTACTAAGCACTACAGTTTATTTCTTGTATCAGTGGTTGTGCATTTGGTGAACAGCGGTGAACCGATGACCTTTACGGCCAATTACTGTAATTTCTGTTGAGCACATAAACACAATGGCCAATCAGCGCTGTCTAAGTAAGGACTCAAATATTAGCGAGAAATTAATGTTTTTAAAATTTCAGTACCGATTGGTACTGAACTCGATACTTTTGACAACCCTAATAAGCACTACAGTTTATTGCTTGTATCAATGGTTGTACATTTGGTGAACATCAGTGAAGAGCGGTGAACTGATGACCTTCACAGCTGATCACAGCCATTTTAGTTGAGCACGTGAACACAATGGCCTATCAATGGTGTTTAAGAAAGCGCTGAAATGTTAGCGGGAAATTATTGTTTTTAAAACTTCAGTATTGATTGGTGCTTAACTCGATACCAAACTCGATACTTTTGACAACCCTCATAAGCACTACAGTTTATTGCTTGTATCAGTGGTTGTGTTTGCATTTGGTGAAGAGTGATGACCTTAATGGGCAATCCAAGTCATTTCGGTTGAGTATGTGAACACAATTGCCAATGTTTAAGTAAGCGCTCAAATGTTACGTTTTTAAAATTTCTGTACTAATTGATACCAAACTCGATACTTTTGTATCAGTGGTTGTACATTTGATGAACATTGGTGAAGAACAGTGAACCGATGATCTTCACAGCCAATCACAGTCATTTCTGTTAAGCATGTGAGCACAATTGCCAATCAGTGGTGTTTAAATAAGCACTTAAATGTAATGTTTTTAAAATTCCTGTACCTATTGGTACTAAACTCGATACTTTTGACAACCTTACTAACCCTACAGTTTATTGCTTATAGCAGTGGTTGTGCTTGCATTTGGTGAAGAGCGATGACCTTAATGGCCAGTTACAGTCATTTCTGTTGAGCACTTAAACAATTCTCAATCAGCATTGTTTAAGTACACACTTAAATGTTACGTTTTTAAAATTCCTGTACCAATTGGTACCAAACTCGATACTTTTGACACCCTTACTAAGCACTACAGTTTATTGCTTGTATCAGTGGTTGTGTTTGCATTTGGTGAAGAGTGATGACCTTAATGGCCAATTCCAGTCATTTCGGTTGAGCATGTGAACACAATTGCCAATCACCGATGTTTAAGTAAGCGCTCAAATGTTACGTTTTTTACATTTCTGTACTAATTGGTACCAAACTCGATACTTTTGACACCCTTACTAAGCACTTCAGTTTATTGCTTGTATCAGTGGTTGTGTTTGCATGTGTTGAAGAGTGGTGAACTGATGACCTTCACGACCAATCGCAGTCATTTCTGTTGAGAATGTGAACACAACAGCCAATCAGCATTGTTTAAGCACACACTCAAATGTTACATTTTTAAAATTCCTGTACCAGTTGGTACCGAACTCGATACTTTTGACAATCCTATTTAGCACTACAGTTTATTGCTTGCATCAGTGGTTGTGTAGTTAACAAGCCAATTGCTAATCAGTATAATTTGGTAACTGCGGCTTTGATCGTAACTCCGGTCCTGCCAAAAACTGCAACGATGCCCCCCCAAATAGTCTCTCCATTTCACCTCTCTATCTTTCTCACTCTCGCTCTCTTCATCCTGTCAGTGCACTTCAGTGAAGTCAAATAATATATTTGCCGGGCTTATCAACCCCCCCACCCCTCCCCATCTTCACCGCTTCTTTTTTTCCCCTCCCGCGTTGGAAAATGAATGCTTTACGGGGACAACATTCATCACTGGTTATTTCCCTCTCTTTGTCGGCTGGCAGTAAAAAAGCACTTAAATGCACATCAACAGAATAACAGTCATTTCCATGCATGTTTGCGCACTCGTCGTTCTCATTAGCGGCTGCTCTGTTTCTCCCCCCACCCACCCTCGCTCTCTCACCCTCTCTGTTTTGGTCTCTCACCCTCTCTCTCTCTCTCTCTCCTCCCCCCTCCTTCTGTTAGGGTCCCAGGGGCCCCGCTAGTTTAAAGAGCGCTCTTTACGAGCAAAATGGAGGCCCCGCCGTGTGGCCCCGCGGTGTCGCAGACAGAACACGACGCTGCGCGACACTCGCCCTTCACCACTCGTCTCCGCTTGTCGAACAATCAATTTCAGCCCCGCTCCGCCATCGGCCCCCCGTCTGCACCCATCAGCTCCACATCCTAAAGCAGAATTACTCAAAGCGGCCGTAGCCAAGGAATGAGCTGCATATTTGTGTGCGCGCGCGTCAAAGCACTTCATTAGGCCCTGGTGTAAAATAGTTATTGTCACACACAAGCACGCGTACTTTTAGCTGCATCAGGATTTGCTGGATGTGTTTTCTCTAGGACCTGTTACCCATCAGCCTCTCGCTTCTCGCGTTTACTGAGAGTATTATAGCTTTACAGGTCATAATGGAGATAATAGAGTTTTATATCAGAGATCTTTAGGATGCGCGCACCTAGAGCAAATCTCATTTGTTGCATCTAAGGTTTCAGCAGGTTTTGTTGTTGTTCTTTGGAATGTTTGTGTGGAAGTAAACTGAAGTCAGGGCTCGCAAAACCTGGTAACCCGAAGTCTCGGGGCTATTGTTTTTTCAGTCGGGCTACCAAACGCCAACCTGATTTCACCAAGCAGGACATGTTCCTGAATAACCATCTATGATGATCCTGGAACAACATTTCAATCAGCCAATCAGAATTAAGGGATACGTTTACAGTTTGTGTTTGGTTTAGGCTTACGGTTAGGTTTATGCACTTCTATATGATTGTTACCCATCTATTATTCCCCTCTGATTTGGGGAATAATTAACAGTTATGGTTGGGTTTAGGGGTAGGGAATAGGTAAGGATTATATTTTCAAACACAAATGATGTTCCAGGATCGACATTGATGTTAAACCAGGATCTTACTTGGCAAAATTGTTACATGTGGCTACCAAAATCTATCTACATCATGCACAGCGGGCTATCTAGATTATGCTAGCCCTGGAAGTAGATTGTAGAGATTCACTGATCGACTGGTCAAAGGCCAGAATTGTCCTTTTTTTTCTCTCTCGCATCCTCGGTCATGTTTAGGTTTTCAGCAAGAGTTTTACCAGAACAAGACTAAAAATATCAGACAATAGG